GATCGACCACGACTTCGCTAACGCCCTCGCCGCACTTGTGGACGACGAACCTTCTCGCACTATTTGCATGATCGACTTCGAGAACGAACCAACTGACGACTACATGTCGATCGAAGAATACGATCAGTACGAACAGTATGAGCGCGGCCAATGCGATCCTGATCAAAGCGAAAGTGACCACGAGGACTACATCCANCCCGTACCATCTGTGTAATCGACTTCGAAAATGAACCTAACCGACGATTACATAACTATGGAGGAATACGATCAGTACGAAGACTACGACCGTGTCCTTCACGAACAAACCCAGCTCGAGCCAGGCGATTACGAGAGTGACATCGAGGAATACATCCGAAGGAGCAATGCTTATCATGCCGACTTCGACAAAGAAAACGAACAACCTCACGACCACACCCCGCTTCCCAACCGGTCACGCAGCCACTCCGTGCCGCCTGCGCCGCGCATGCCATTGTCAGACATTNACGAACAGTATGAGCGCGGCCAATTCGATCCCGATCAAAGCGAAAGTGACCACGAAGACTACATTCATGGCACTGACATCNACGCGACGAATGGCCACTCGCCACCATTGTTCATAACGAATCAGAAGTCCACACAGACTTGTCCGATGCGATGAGAGAATCAGATACGGATACCGACGACCAAATGGACCGCAACGAACAACTCCAGTCTGAATTGGACCGTCTCAACCAGCTCGTCGACATTGAACGGGCGAAAGTCACTGAACTCAAGATCCAGCAACTCGCCTACAATCGCACACGCCGACAACTCCATCGGGAAGACTGTCAACGATATGAGGATACATTCGTCGGGTCAACCAAACGACCCGAAGAACTCATCTCTCTTATCCAGTCTTCACTCCAAGGACTCAAGAATAAGGTCGCCCAAGAAGAACGCAAGAANACTCCAGTCCGAGCTGGACCGACTTAACCAACTCGTTGACATCGAACGCGCAAGGGTCACCGAGCTCAAGATCCAGCAGCTTGCCTACAATCACACCCGACGACAGCTCCATCGCGAAGACTGTCAACGATACGAGGATACATTCGTCGGTTCCACCAAGCACCCGGAGGAACTTATCTCCCTCATCCAGTCTTCGTTGCAAGGACTCAAGAAGAAGGTCGCACAAGAAGATCGCAAGAGAAGAACCTTCAACTTGGACGAGAAGTACGATCGACAACTGGACAGCGAATACTACGCTGGACCAATTGATAGCGACGACTCCTTCATTGAGACCTATCCGCCTAGACCCATGCTACAGTCGATCGGAGTGTCGGCCTTTGAGGCCAACGTCCACACTGTATGTGACCATCCTTGGTCTCCTCATGTAGGGGATCACCCTCAAGTCCATCCAGGACACCCGTCTCACAAGAAAATCGCCTGGATCAATTGTCTCTACGACGCTTGCCCCTGGCACCTGTCCTACAAGATGGAAAACGGGGATTTCGCCCCTGTTCGAGCGACCTATCACAAGGACTCCATCAACATGTGGGACGTGGGTCGATCACGCGATCGTGAAGGAGGAAAGCTACTGAAGCTACCCCTCAAGGATGGATACGGAAGAGACGGTATGTCTTCTCCCCACTCTCGCTATCAAGAATGCTGCCGAACCAACTGTGCAGTCCACATGGCCGACAAAGCACGACAATGGCACGCTAGGCAAACATTGCAAGAAGAGAAGAACAAGCAGGGCCTCCGCAAGGACAAGACAAGGAAACTGCAGCAGCATCGTCTTCAGACACCAGCACGGTCTGTGGACCCCCGACAAGGTCAGGGTCCCAGAGGAAACGCCGTGGTGGCCGCAGAAGACAGGGAAATGGCGCCAGCTCCTCGCGAGAGGACCGCGAGTAGCTGCACCGCCACAGATCCTCGAAGTAAGTCGAGATGAGGACTCGATTTACGAGGTCCAGATGACCTGGACACAGCCATTCCAAGGAAAAGCAATGGCCATGATCGACTCAGGATCGTCGATCAACCTCATTACACCACAGACGGTGAATGATTGGAAGATCCCATGGGTACTCAAGAAGAGACCCTACAGAGTGTACACATTCGAAGGGAAAAGTCCTAGCTATGAAGAAGGACAGGTACTACGAGAAACAGTACCAATGAAGGTTGTCATCAACGGGGATCTACAAGAAATCGTCTTCGACATCACCCCAATTGGGAAACACGACGCTATCTTGGGTAGACCCTGGCTGAGGAAATACAACCCGGATATCGACTGGAGCAATAAAACCATCAAACGACGAACACCCAGCGCTCCAGCGACAGAAGAAGTCTCAGTCACTGACCGAAAGGGTTGGCATCCTTCGTCACACGAGACTACGCCACCACTAGAACCATCAAGAATGGTCATGTTCATCAACAATTACCCCGAGGAGGGACCACCTCCTGAACCACCACCCAAGTCTACCGATGAGCGACTCAAAGACGTCCCAGTCCAATACCGAGGATACAAGATCTTCCGGTCGTCTTCTGAGTGCACATTGCCAGCACACGGTCCATGGGACCACGAGATACCCTTGAAGGAAGGTGCCAAACCCAAATACCAGAAGATCTACCAGCTTAACGCTGCACAGATGAAGGCACTCAAGGAGTACATCGACGAGAGGCTCAAACTGGGACATATCCGAGAATCCCAGTCACCATGGGGCTCCCCTATTCTCTTTGTACCAAAGAAAGACGGAGATCTTCGCCTCGTCATTGACTACAGACATCTCAACAGCGACACGATCAAGAATAGATACCCACTGCCGCTGATCCAAGAGATGAGAGATCGACTCGGCAAAGCGACAATATTTTCCAAGTTCGATCTTACCTCGGCTTTCTCACAGATTCGCATGAAGAAGGGCGAAGAAATCAAGACGGCATTCAGAACCCCATTGGGACATTACGAATACCGCATTATGCCACAAGGCCTCACGAACGCACCAGCCTCGTTCCAAGCTCGAATCGATGCTGTGCTCAA